TGCAGCTCCAATACCAAAACTGGGCAAGAGCCAATACTAACTGTTATACAACTGATCAATGACATCAACCAAATCAGTCAAACCCAACCTAAATTAAGTTTCACAAACGATGAGCAGAGAATGGTGCACACACTTTCGTTCTCTAATAACACTTATCAAGAGGCAGTTGATGCGTGGTTAAGAACACACCAACAAACAATCATAAATTAATACAAATATAATACCACAATGTCTCAAAAAGCAACAGACAATTTACATTCACATGAAGAAACAAAATAGTGGCTCAAACAAGTGAACTTGTTTGAGATAGAAAATATTTTTGAGGAAAAAGTCATCGGAATGCCCTGAAAAAGAATTCAAGAGAATGATACCTTCCATGATAGGCAGAAAATTAAAAAAAAAACACCAAGGAATAATTCAGAAAACACTACAGGAGCAAATAGAATAGACAAAGGATTGAAGACAATACAAAATCTGCAAATAGAAATCCAGAAGATCAATACTAAGATATAAAAAATGGACAATATACTGAAAGGACAAAGGAGTAGATGTGGAGCAATGGAAGCCCAAATAGTGAGTCTGAAGACAAATCTCTCAACACTAATATTCTAGAAGAACAATCAGAGAAGAGAATGAAAAAATCCAAAGAAAACCTAAGATTCATGTGTGGCATCATGAAGAGGAATAACTTATGGGTAACTGAAATTCCAGAACAGGAAAATAGGTTGTAGAGTCATTGTAAGAAAACTTTCCTAATATCTTGAAATATGAGAAGATAAACATAAAAGATGCTGAGCAAATCCCAAACAGGATAGACCCCAAAAGAAAATCACCAAGACATTATAATCAAATTCCAACATCAAAGACAAGAAAAGAATCCTGAGAGCAACAAAATGAAAAAGTTACCTATAAAGGATAACCAATAAGACTAAACTCTGATTTCTCAGCAGAAACTATGTAGGCAAGAAGACAATGGGGAGACATATCCAAAACTCTGAAAGAAAATCACATGCCAATCACAAATCACATAGCTAGACAAACTGTCCCTCAAATACGATGGCAAAACTAGAAAAATTTCAGATAAACAGAAATTAAAGGAATAAATAATAATCAGAACAACTTTCCAAGAAATAATTAAGGGCTGAGAACCAACAACAACAGACAACAACTTGAGATTGGCAACACCACCCAGAACTCAATCCAGATATGGAAATATCCAAAGTAAAAAAACAAACAAATCTACAAGACCGAAAATAGGGAGCCAGAGATATTAATTTTTAATGAAGACAATTACAAAGCAAAAAGAGTGAAAGTCTAGTTAAAGAGCTTCCAAATGTCAAGGAAGTCAAGTAGATTTAAAGATAAATAGACTATTTTAAACTGGGGAAGAAATGAATGAAGTAGAGAGTAACCTCAAATAAAATTAATACGCCTTCACATTAAAAAAAGAAAAAGGAAAACTGTAAAGATTTAGCAACAATTAAAACAATAGCAATGAAGAAATTGACAAGAAAATGCAAAAACTAATGAATACAACCAGAAAATTATGTGGACAAACAAACCAGCGGCACCACAAAAACACACACACAGAAAAAGGACAGCAATCATTGCATGTTGTTGTTAAGGGCCTTCGGGTCGGTTCTGACTCAAAGTTATCCAGTGTATACCTGTTGATAATTACACTGAACGTCAGTAGATTAACTGCACCAATCAAGAGCAGAATGGAAAATAAAATAGGATTCTTTAATATGCTGTTTACAAGAGACACACATACACACAAACACAAAAATAGACTAAAAATCAAAGGCTGGAAAGACAATATCAAGTTAACAAACCTTAAGAAATATCTATGCTCCCAAAGAAAAAAAATCTCAAAAAATATAAATCAAACTCTAAAAGAAGTGAAGAAACAAATAGACAACTCTACAATAATGTTGTTGCTAAGTGTTGTTGAGTTGGTTCCAACTTATGACTACCCTGTATAGGGTTTCTGAGGAGCAACGGGTGGATTTGAACCATTGACCTTGCAATTCAAACTGACCTTAAGGTTCAGTGTTTATCCTAGAGTGCTAAACTACAATAATAGTATAACTCCCTACAATAATGGTATAAAATAAATCAGGTTTCCATTCAACAAGTCATAAACATTTTGTTTCATGTCATTAATTGCAATTTCCACAATGTAGCATCAGTTATCCCATTTCCCATTTCCCATTTCCTTTGCTCCTTCTTTCTTAACCCTGCTGATCTTTGTTCTTGGGTAAATGTTGCCCTTTTAATCTTAAATGGTTGGTTAGTCTAAGGAATGCATACCTTTCTAGTGTTATTAACATACAATTGAATACTATGCAATGTATTTGAGATCACATCCTGATCTCAAAATTTATTATATAACCACAGTGGTCAAAACAGCCTTGTACTGACTGGTACAATGAAAGATACATAGATCAATGGAACAGAATTTATAACGCAGAAGTATATTTATCCACATACAGTCAGCTGATCTTTGACAAAGGGCCCAAACACATTAAATGGGAAAGAGATGGTCATTTTAACAAATGGTGCTGGCAAAATTGGAAATCCATTTGCAGGAAAAATGAAACAAGACTATATTTCACACCATATACAAAATCAAATTGAACATAGATTAAAGATCAAAATGTAAAGTCTAGAACTCTAAAGATCATCAATGAAAAATTAGGCACAAACTTAAGGACTCTAATATATGGTATAAATACACTGTCAAACGTAACCAAAATACACACAAACAGTGGAAGACAAAATAGATGACTGTAACCTCCTGAAAATTAGACACTTATGTGCATCAAAATATTTTTCTATAAGAATGAAATGAAAGCCCACAAACGGAAAAATTTTTTGCAAGGACATATCAGACAAACTAATTAAAAAAAAATTATAGAAAGCTATAACACCTCTACAAGAAAAAGACAAATAACTCAGTTAATAAATGGACAGAGTTCATGAACAGGCACTTCACCAAAAAGATGTTCAGGTGGCCAAGAAACATATGAAAAATATTTGTGACCATTAGCCATTTTTGTTATTAAGTGCTGTTGAGTCGGTTCTGACTCAATCAAAATAGCAATGTGATATCATCTCACCCTAGCATTAATTACAAAGTTTTTTTTTTTTTTTTAAAGGAAAACAGAAAACAACAAATGTGCTAGTAAGGGATTGCAGAAACTGACACCCTTTTACATTGTTGGAGGGACTATAAAATGGTGCATGCAACCACTATGGAAAATAGTATGGCATGTCATCAAAACGTTGGAATTAGAATTACTGTATGGCCCAGCAATCCCTCTGTGTGGTATATATCTACAAGAAGTAAGAGCCATCACATGAATAGATAGATGCACACACATGCTCATCACAGCACTATTTACAATAGCAAAAAGATGGATACAGCTTAAATGCCCATCAGTGGAAGAATGGACAAACTTTGGTATATACATACAATGGAATACTATGCAACATTGAAGAATAATTATGCATCTGTGAAACATCTCATAACATGGATGAACCTGGAGGATATCATGCTGAGTGAAATTAGTAAATCACAAAAGGACAAATATTGTATGAGACTACTATTATAAAAACTCAAGGGAAGGTTTTCATGCCAAAAGAAACATTCTTTGAGTTTCTAGGAGTGGGGGGTGGGGAAGGGAGAGTAATTCACTGGCTAGAGGGTAGACATATATTAATTTGGGTGATGGGAGAACAATATACAATATACATGAAGAGGGAGATTGGCAGAAGAATGATGAAGACAGGTGAAGACCCTGGAAGGTATGTTTTGGTTAGAACAGAGGTAAATTGTATTATATAAACAACCCTGGACAACAGTGTTCTGTGGATACATACATGGACTTATACACAGGCTGAAGAGGTATGGGAGGGAGAGAGGGTTTATACCCACAAATCTATAATAGTTTATAGGAGGATATTTGTACATGGTTGTTTACCTTTTCTGACAACAAACCTCTGAATGTGGTGGAGCATACAGGGGGAAGAATGATGAAAATTTCTTAGGTAGAAAATATCTTAGGAATGAGGTACAGGGTCTGGGGGTTCAAGACCATAGTCTAAGGGGATATCATGGTCAATTGGCATAATGTCTCCCACAAAAAATGTTCGACATCCTACTTTGGTGAGTAGTGTCTGGGATCTTAAAAGCTCGTAAGTAGCCATCAAACTACTGGTCTCTCCATGTGTGGAAGAAAGAAGAATGATGAAATTGAAGATGCTTGGAATCACCTAGTTCAATGGACCAGTGGAGCAGGTAAACATGTCTCCACAACTCTGAGAACTAGAACTAGATGGTGCCTGGCTACCACTACCAACTATTCTGAAAGAGATCACATTAGAAGGTACTGAATAGAGTGGGTAATATGAGGACCAAAACTCAAAATGATAAAGAAGACTGGACTTACTGGTCAGAAAGAGGCTGGAGGAAAATGAGACTATGATTCCCGGCCACTGTTTAGGTTGGGAATGGAATTCACCTTTGTGGTCCAATTTTTAACCAAGCAGTGGATAGGTGTATGGCAGGGACAACAACCCTAGTGAGGTATGTTCACCATTCAAGAGGAAAAGATAATATTTAACTGGGGACAAGGTTGAGAGGGCTTGGGAAGGAAGATGAATTGGAAATAGGAACCACAAGGAGAAAGTGGGAGAACTGTTGTTACATGGAGGGGATTGCAATCAAATTGTGTGAGTTGCTGGATGTAAAACTGATGATCTTCTCTGTAACCCCTCATTCAATTCACAATAAATATTAAAAAAAAAAAAAAGCCAGAAAAAATAACACATGGGTTGAAGTGACTCTAGATACCATCCAATTTTATCAGCATCTTTATCTTGTTTAATAGGAGGTTGGTGACCATTTTCTCTGATTTGAAAATAGCTTTATCATGCTAAATTTTTCAGGATCTGAAGAGGTAAGAGAAAAGAAGAGAAATTCTGTAAATACTTACTATTTCCTTGTTCAATTGGCAACAAATCAATTCCTGATTGGGCGATTCTTCCTCGTGCTTTGATCTAAAACCAGAAAGGAATATACTCATTGTATACTTCTTGAAAAATAATAATCTCACTATTCCAAATGAAAAGTTAATTTCATCACATAAATTTTCAACAGCTTTTACATGTTTATTTATGTACTTAAAATAATAAATATATGATTTGGTCATTTGTTTTACTATTTTACTTAATATTTACTATTTCTCTTGAATATTAATATTTCAACATTATATATTATCCTTTTAGCAAATTATTTAGCATCTACTATATGCACAACAAAACACAGTGAAATAAGGTAAAAATATGCATAAATATCCTTTAATATTGTCTTGATTAAAAAACAGCATGCAAAAACAACAAGTAAGAAATACAACTATCGAGTACTCTTTATATCCCAAGCACTGAGCTAAATAATTTAGTTTCAAGGTGTATTTAATTTGAAAACTAACTTTATGAAGTATGTATTCAGGTAAGATGACTGGATTTTTTCTTTATAGATGAGATTAAGAACTGTCAAAGTTCTCATAACTAGAAAGCATTAGAGTTAAGATTCGAATTTATTGGTAATTATTTTATTTTTCATAGAATGTTTTTAAGAATGCTATTTGTAGTTAACGTACCTATACAGAATTTCCTGCATTATATTTTTCTTCCTAAAATGGTTTACTTGGATGGCTAGTAGTTTTGGATGCTTTCTTTGGGGATGATTTAATCAGTTTCAAAAGTATCATGTAATGGTGAAATGAGTTCCTTTATGTGTTCTTTTGGAGTCCTGGTGTGGGCCTGTGGGTTAATGTGCCAGTCTGTAAAGCTGTTTGAACTACAAGGTTGTTAGTTCAAGCTCACCAGCTGCTCCTCCAAAACCCTACACAGGATCGTTATGGGTTGGAACCGACTCAACGGCACTTTACAACAACATGTGTCCTTTTGCCTTGGTTCTTTGAAAAATACTGTCTGAGGTAATTTCCCCCCTAAACCTTGAGGAGCTACCTTTGCCCTAGTTTTCCACCCCAGAAGTTTTGTTACTTTTGTGCAGGTTGTTTGACATATCCTAGGTAAACTGTAAACAATTTGTAGTTTGAAACTTTATTTCTGGTCCTGCGCTGCTGCAGACTTTGTGATTAATACTCACCTTACAGTGACTGGTCAATACTTGATGCAAATGAATTGTTTCTGGGCTAATGACAGTAAATCTGTGGCCCTGGGAGGAAAGTCATGCTTTGAAATGAACAAGGAGATGTGTATATAGGTAGCGAACCACACAGAGTTTATACAGACTGAAAGAAGCAGGAAGAGGAGCAGAAGAAAGAAAAGAGTAAAGAAGCAGAGAGAGAGAAAGAGAGAGGTTGCAAGGAATCTTCTAAAAGAGCTGCAATGTGGCTATAACACTTAAGATAGGAAGAGGCCCAGAAGAGGACCCGTGGCAGAATCAGCGGTGATAGATGGCAGAGCCAAGAGGAGCCTATTTTGAGCGGGCCAAGAAGACTCTGTGCTTATGAGGCCTTCAGGGTCGAGAGGAGGTGACAGAGTTGTCTTGCACTGAAGAAGAGAGATTTTGCCTACATGCATCCTAATCCCAAATTCTAGTTTGTTGATCTTGATCCTGAAATTATATTCTATTCCTGAATATACCATTTAACTGTAAGCATGGTCTGTGAATTTGGTGTGACCATAGTAACGTATTATTGAACCCGGAAAAGAAATAGAAAATTCTGTGGGAGGGATGGCTGGTATCAGAGTTGGTAAAAAAGTTGGATAGTGAAGAAGATGTGTTTACCCTCTACTTCATAGGGATTAACTTTGGGTTGATCTTGAACACATTATTCTCCCTGAAGTTAGACAAGAGTCTGATGGCTACCACCATTTTACATACGCCAATTTATAATAAGCCTGTGTATGTAGTACTGTTGGTAGCGTAGTGGTTACGAATCGGGCTGCGAACCTTAAGGTCAGCAGTTCGAAACTACCAGCCGCTCCGCGGGAGAAAGATGAGGCTTTCTACTCCCGTAAAGATTTACACCCTCGGAAACCCTGTACAGGGTCGCTATGGGTCGGACCCGACTCGATGGCACACAACAACAACAACAACAACAATGTAGTACTGTAGAATAAGCACTGGACCGCAAGTCAGCAGTTCAAACTCACCAGCCGCTCCTTGGAAATCCTATAACAGGGTTGCTATGAGCCAGAACTGACTTGAACAACATACCTGTCTTCTGCAGCTACACCAATGAGAAGTTTTATAATTATTTAGAAACTTTGCATGTGTATCAGGAGTCTTCCATTGGAGCAGTGGTTAAATGCTCCCCTGCTAACTGAAAGGCTGATGGGGGTTGGGGCCCACCAGCTGTTCCTTATGAGAAAGACAGGGCAGTCTACTTTGCATAAAGAGCACAGCTTTGGAAACGCTCTGAGGCCCTTTTTACTCTGTCCTGTGAGTCAGTAGCAGCTCAATAACAACAGGGTTATTTTTGTGGTGCTGTGAGCTAATGCGTCAGACTGCAAAGTTGTTTGAACTGCAAGGTCGGTGGTTCAAGCTCACCAGCTGCTCCTTGGAAATCCTATACAGGGTCGCTATGGGTTGGAATCGACTGGATGGCACTTAACGACAACAATAGGTGAAAAATGTCTTATTGTTTTAATTTCCACTTTGCCAGTTAATGTCAGAGTTGAATATTTTTCTAGAGAGTCATTTGTCATTTTTATTTCCTTTTAAATCATTTCTTGGTTCTTATATTTTGATTATTTGTCTACTGAGTTCTAAGAAAAACATTCTTTTTGTGTAAAAAAGATTTTGTTGTAGACACTTGCCTCTCCCACTCAATAATTTGCCATTAGAAGTGTTAGGGACAGAGTAGGAAGCTAAGAGGCCAGCTTAACTACACCCCAACACCTGGCATTTGAAGCAACAATTCCAGGAAACTGAGCCCAGCACACCTTCTGAGAAACAGAGCAGTGCTAGACCATCAAAAAAGGTGCAAATGAAAAATATGTACTTCCTAGACACTGCCAGCAATCAGAACTAAATGAGGGAGATAAGTCAAAAACCCTATAAAGAAGGAGAAAGAGCAGAAAGCCAGAGTTCTCTCTCACTCTCAAGAGAGATGCCAGCTTCTTCTCTTCTGAAAAGCGTACTGTTCATAGCTTAATAAACCTTCCTTGCTACTTGCTGCTTTTTGTCTGTGTGTGCTGTTTGAGCCAACTTCACGTGGGTCTTGCTAGATTAGCAGAAGTCAAGTTATTGGACCCTAACAGGAAGTCAGCAAGAAAAAATATCTATATATCTCAGTGGACATCAGCATATAAATAAAAAAAGCAAAGCATTAGTAATCTTGTTAAGAAGGTTAATCATAAAAGCACACACACAAATATCAATATTGATATGATTTCTTATATGCTACATTACTTAGATAGAACTTTGCAGTTTTGTAGTCTAGACAAGGAGCCTTGTAGCAAGTGGGTTATGCCATGGGCTGCTAATCACCAGGTCAACAGTTAGAATCTACCAGCCGCTTCTTGGGAGAAGGATGAGACTTTCTGCTCCTGTAAAGATTTACAATCTTGGAAACCCAATAGAGGGTTGCTGTGAGTCAGAATTGACTTAATGGCACACAGCAGCAGCAGATAATTAGAAAGAGTTAGCAGTGATTTTTTATTAGTAGTGATTTTTATTCTTACCAGAAAATAGTAAGGTAACTCTTTTTGGTTCTTCAGAATCTGTTCACTCAGAATATAGTGTATCCTGACCTCCTGGGTTTGGCCGCAGGTCAAAGTACCAATAACAGGCTCAAGATGAATATAACTCTCACTTGGGGAGTAAACACGCCTTGCAGAGTGATAAGCAGGAGTATGAAATTCTTGAAGCCACAAGTTATCGAAACATTGGTTAATCCGTTTGTAAATGACCTAGTGGAAGAAATAAAGGGCACAAATAGGCAATTTGTTATTAATACATAGCAAATATATTTGTTAGATAGGTTTTATTATACAATAGGAATCATGAAACAAGGTCACTTTCTCAAGTAAAATAACCTATAAGCAGCTTCCCCTTAAAGCCATATACATTTCTACTATACTGAATCAGTAGATAGTATTAATTTGCATCAAGATCAGTATTTCCCCCCAACACTCTTATGGCAGTAAATTGCATAGGAACACTTGAACTTTAACACACAGCAAAAATAGTGATACAGCAAAGAAATCAAGCAAAATCTAAATTTTCTTAAAATTATAAGATGTTGGCTTGTTTTGAGGAAATATCAAGATGATCTATTCAATGTCTCTGAAAACTTGCTTATATTGCAAACAGAGTTTATGTAAATTAAGTTTCCTGACAAAGAATGTTTTGTTTCTTATAATTTAGGTCTCCAAATTGCTTAATTCCTACATACTTTATTTTTAGAGTTCAAAAAATTCCCATTTGTCTTTAAATTATGTGATCCCAATGATCTGCATATATTTTTTAATTTCCAAAACCCCTTTCTACTTACTGTAACTGCAATAGAAGAAGAAGTGAAGTTGGTGGTATCAATGGAAATCGTTGCCAAACCATGCTCATTAGTGGTAAAGTTGTACTGGCGTGTAATTTCGGACACACTGGCAAATACAGTTTTATTGGGTATTGGCTGATTCTTCTCATCAGTTAGAAGAACCTTGAAATATGTTTCCAAGAGTTATGTATCAATAGCATATTCCATTCTGCTTTGTTCATTTTTTGTTACCTACTTGTCACTTCCGGTCAATTTACTGAATATTTCAGAATTTGGCCACATGACATGTCTTCTAGGCTTTAAATGGTTAATTTTTCTACTTGATATTTCTATTTGGATAACTCATAGGTGAACAGGGACTCACTATAATACATTCCCAAGTCTTCTTCTCTGGTGTTCTCTGTTTCAGTATATGGTGATGATCTTCTCTCTTTAATGTCAAGTGTTGTCTTTTTCATTTGTTAAACATATGTTAAGCCTGTCTACTTCTCTTTAAATAATCTACTGTTAACATTCTAGTCCAAACCACAATATTTTCCCTCTTGCAGCTTTTTCTTCTAGCTTAAATTTCTGGTTAATTCATACTCATCTTTTCAGTACTTGGTTTTCTCATGCTCTTTTCTCAGCCTGAAAGGATCTGACCTAATCATATCCATGTTGTGTTGTTAAGTGCCTTTGAGTTGGCTCTATCTCATAGAAATCCTGTACAGGGATTTTGAGGAGCAGCTGCTGGTGGGTCTGAACTGAAGATATTGTGATTAACAGCCCAGTGCTTATCCTACAGTGCCACACCAGGAGCCCATACATACATTTATTAATTTCTTATTGATATGATATGAAATTGTAGAATCAATGAAGAAAATATAAAATTCAAAACATACCATTGGAATGAGGCAATTTCCCATAAACTATCAATTCAAAGATTAGCTATCTTATATTTCTTGTATCAAAGAAGATGTTATTTTCCTAAATTTGAGAACAAACAGTTCTAAAACTTAACTTTTATTGGTATTACTAATATTTAGTTTGGGATTTGAAAGGAATTTTTCTAAGCTGTTATTGATTTTTAAAATTCAACCATCATTTTATTATTCCAATGGAAAATGATATTACAAAATAATAATCTATAAGAAGTCATCAAATAGTATGCTGCCAGACAATACAGAAAAATGTACATGGAAAAATCTCTTTATTAAGAGATGTGTTAGGAAGTTGGAGTCCTGCTGTGGGGCTGTATGATAAGCGTTGGACTGCTAACCACAAGGTTGGTGTTCAAACCCACCAGCTGCTCCTTGGAAACACTTTACAGAGTTGCTATGAGTTGAGCTGACTCCATATAACTTAACAACAGTAGCAATTAGGAAGTTGATTAATAATAGTAAAAATATGGTCTACCTTCAGTTTACCCTCCCTTCAACTCCCATCCCTGGTAACCATCGAATAATGTTCATTTTAGTGTGAAAATCTCTTCTTGATTTTTTATAATACAGGTCTCATATAATATTTGCCCTTTGGTAATTGATTTATTTACTCAGTATAATGTCTTCCAGTTTCATCCATCTTATGAGGCTCTTTGCAGATTTATCATTATTCTTTAACATGGCACATTTATTCCATTGTGTGTCAGTACCACTAGGAAGGTATGCACTCTTTAGAATAACCAACAATTTGAGATCAAAAGGGCAACATTTACCCAAGGACAAAGATCAGCAGGTTTAGTAAAGGAGCAAAGGAAATGGGAAACACAAGGAAGTAGGATAAGTGATGCCACATTGTGGAAATTGCAATTAATGACATGAAACAAAATGTTTATGACTTGTTGAATGGAAAACTGATTTGCTCTGTAAACCTTTGCAATAGTTTTTTTTTTTTTTTAAACAAGGTTTTCTCCCCCTGGATTTTGTGGTAATATTTTCTCTTTGAATTTGTAATTTACAATGATTTCTTATTCCAAACAAATATTTATTTTTATAATATATTTTTGGGAGATTTTGAAAATTCATTTCATTACAAAGTCTCATCCTTTAAAGTATGATTATATTGGAAAGGTATCTTACCTGCCCAAAGAAAGGAAGCCCACGTCTGAAATGTGAATCTGCTTTTACAAAAATAAGTGTGCTTAAGGTATTTTTGATTTTACAAATTTTTTGCCCAGTTATTTCCAACTCTGAAAAATAAAAAAAGAAGTTGAATCGTTCTATTCAAAATCCATCTGCTACCTCCATTGCAGCATCAGTGGCTCCGTCATATTAACATACCATCTACATTCTTTTTAAATTCTTTCTTCACATTCACAAGAAAAAATCTATTTGACTCCATTAGCTTCAACTTCATATCAAAGTATATCAATAATCAAAATTTTCCAATTCCTTTGATTTCACAAGTATCCTGTCTTCTTCTTCTTTTGCTTCTGAGGAACTCCTCATCTCCTCCGTGATCTTGTTCCATCTTTGTGTCTGCTTTTCTCACTTCCCTACTTTCATCTACAACGTTCTGCATTGGAGAGTCTTCACTTTTGTCTAAAAATATGCTTAAATAATCAACCATAAAAATACCTCAGCAACAAGATCTTTCTTTTCATGTATAATCTATACAAAGTATTATCAACATCTGGAGATTTTCATTTCAATCAAGTGTGATCTGTATTTTGTCCTCACCATCTAAAATACTACTCTGTCAAGTTTAAATGTTTTGATTGACCCCAGTATTGTGTTATGATTTCAGACTTCATCATATATGAACTCTCAGGAATATTTTATAGATAAGCACTACTGAAACTCTTCCCTCCAGTGACTTCTAAGAAATTATTCTATCTTATTTTTCCCCTGTCTCTAGGACTTCATGGCACTGCAGGATAATGTGATGGACTACAAGGTCAGTTTGAGTCTCAAGGTTGGCACTTCAGATTCAACTAGTCGCTCCTTGGAAACAGGGTCGCTCTGAGTCAGAACCAACTTGAAGGCACTTAACAACAACAACAAATTTATTTGATACTGCCTTTCTCCTACATGTAATTGTTTCTTTTCTTGCACCCCCTCTTTGTCCTGTCTGTGGCTTGTATTTAGCAATGTGAAGCATGTTTACTTTCAAGTGCATGCACTCTGCTCACAGGATGATATGAGCACAATAGGAATGACTCTCAGATTGAAGCCTCTAGTTCAGATTTTGTTCTCTTTTTTCTTTTTAAACTTTCAGTTGGATGAGTCACCTTTCATTTTGATATTCCAAATTATTATTAACTATCTTTGACCTATGCATATCCCAATAATGATTTTTAAAGCATTCCTTGTTTTGGCTAATGATATTTCCATCATTCTCAAGTTTCAAATCTTTGGGATCATCTTTGAATTCTTGGTATATTTACTTTTCAAATCAAATCTTGTAACAAGATCAGTTACCTTCAAGATATTAACAAACTTTATTTCTCATTTGTATATATTTACAGCATTTCTAGTGCAGGGTGATATAATGTTTCACCTAGGTCACCCCAGTAATTTCCTGTTGTATCACAACATAACCACTTTTTCATCTAGCCTGTCTTTCATGGCTGCTAGAATGATTACTTCTGTTTTTGTTTTACAAATACTCCAACTTATTTGAGTTATTCTCTTCCTTACATATATGTAAAGTTATATCCAAAGATCTTCAAGATAGAGACTTATCTCCTTTTCATATAATTGACTTTCCTCCGCAACCTAGCTACAACCTACGTTTCAGACTCATCCTTTCCTCAGCCATCACTATCTTTCAGAATGTTACCCATTTCAAAGGAATACACTCAAATGCTAATTTATATATATGTTGTTGTTATTAAGTGCCATCAAGTTGGTTCCAACACATAGAGACCCTATATAGGTTTTCCGAGAAGTGACTGGTGAGCTTCAACAGCCAACCTTGCTGTTCAAATGGTTTTGCAGTCTGGCACATTAACCCTCAGTACCACACCAGGACTCCAATTTATATATATATTTTCCCATTAATTGACTCTTCATATTCATTTTTAAAAATGTAAGTGAAGCCATTTTGAAAGCATAGCTATTTTGTTTGGTTAAGACTGAATATAATCAAGCACTGCCTGAAAGCATCTTATATACTGTCCATGTTTCTTAAATATATGCTTTAACCATTGTTAGAATGTTAATCATTGCCTAGCTCTACTTGAAGCAGGGTCCCTGTTTGTGTAGCTTATGATAAGGAGTAACCACCTAGTCAAACAAGCACCAGAAGAGTTAATCATATACCCTGTTTGATGTGCTTATTAGGACACTGTGACCACCTTGTAGATTAGTGTAAATGTTAGAATGACAAGCAATATTTATACTAGTTAATTAGTACAACATTCAGATAAGCTATGATGTTTGTAAAAAATAGTCATTGCACATCATTGGAAAAAAAAAAAAAATCAGCCTTATTGCTGCAGGCGTTCTTGCAGTCGACTTCTTAATAACAAAGACTTTTCTCTGTCTCTGTTTATCTATTGTGGTGGGGATGGTGGTGGTGTACCGCAGAGTCGGAGTTGGTTCTGACTCATATCCACCCTACATAAGGTTTCTGAGGCTGTAAAACTTTACAGGAGCAGAAAGCCTCCTCTGTCTCCTGAAGAATGGCCAGTGTTTTTGAACTGCTGACCTTGAGGTTAGCTGCCTGATTTGTAACATTTGTTTGTTAATTAGACTTAATTGCTTTAGGCCTGTGGACCTAAGCTTTGGGGTAACAACTTTGATCCTCAATAAGATGGTTATAGGAGTCCTGATGTGGTGCTGCAGGATAATGCACTGAATCACAAAGTTAGTTTGAACTGTAGGATCGATGGTTCAAACCCACCAACCACTCTTCGGAAATCCTATACAGGGCTGTTATGGGTCGGAACCAACATGACAGCACTTAACAGCAAGCACAATGATGGTTATGTGTATATATATGCAATTCCATTTTCAGATTTTTAATTCCTTAAGAGAAACCAACTACTATGCCATTTCACAATATCCAGAAAACATAAAACTTGATGTAAAATTAAAGTTTGAAAAATGTGTCTCAAATTAAAAAAAATATTTTCAAATAATACAAACCTGTCCCCTCCTCTTTGATCTTGCCTTCTACTTGTATTGACATGTCATACCCTTGTAGTTGCAGCTGAAACATTTTACCATTTATACGTTTTGTGAAACAGCCTTTGTTGTCTGCCTGAAGAGAAAGGAATGAAATTCTCTGATTTGTCAGTTTTCAGAGAATCCGTTTTCAATCTAAGAAACATTGCTAATGATCAAATAATGAAATTCTAGAAACATTCTAGTCATCAAATGATTATAGAATGAAATTCTACAAACATTCTAGTCATTCTTTTGATGTGTATCCTTCACAAGTTCCTTCTTTAATCATTGAGTTACTCACTGACAATCATCGTCTTTCTTCCCTCTCTTCTGATCACCTATCCAAAGTTTCTACCATCATAAACTTCCTGAAGTTCCCAAATGTGCTACCATGTTTTCTAATTCCATCTCTTTGTATGTTGTTCCTTAAACAATAACATTCTTTCTCTTACTCTTACCTGAGCCAAACCTTAAACAAAACAAAACAAATCAAATCCAACTCATTAAGACCCCTGTATGTCAGACTAGAACTGCACTGAGTTTTTGGAAGCAGATTGCTATGGCTTTCTTTGAAGATGCTTATTCTGTTGTATATTGGTTTTCACTCATTGTGATACTATGCACAGTAGAACAACGTACTGCCTGTTCCTGTACCATCCTAATAATGATTACATTTTAGCCCACTGGTGATTCTACTGTGTTACTCCATCTCTTTGTGGGGTCTTTCTCTTTTTCGCTGACCCTCCACTTTACTGAACATGATGTCCTTCTACAGTGATTGGTCCTTTCTAATAACATGTCCAAAGTATGAAAGCCCATGTCTCACCATCCTGGCTACTAAGGAGTATTCTGCTTGTACTACTTCCAAGACAGATTTGGAACTTCTAATATTATTCTCCAACAAAGTTGGAGCCTCTGGGTGAACTCAAATGTCCCTTCTTTTAGAAAAAAGCTAAAGGATTAACTGTTTGCAACACCCAGGGAGTTAGCCAATGTTTACTTGAGTCAAAACTCAGCTTAGACTAACATCTTCTAAGAGGCCTCTCTGTCTTGTTGTTGTTGTTAGGTGCCATTGAGTCGGTACCAACTCAAGTGGCCCTATGCACAACAAAATGAAACACTGCCCGATCCTGGGCCAAACTCACAATTGTTGCCACACTTGATCCCAAAGATGCTGCCACTTTGTAAATCCATCTGTCTGGGGGTCTTCCTCTTTTCTCTGACCCTCCA